CCCAAATGGGTACAATGTGTGAAGCCCATTTCTGGTGTCCCCCGCCGTGATATTGCTGGAATATTTCTAAAAGCGGCGTAAAACTAAACTCACTCATGAGCAAGGTATGGTGCTGAGCCACAGGTTTGTGAAGACCTGGTTTAAGATGGCCTGTGCATGACAGTAGTGATAGGTTCTGTTCTGTTTATTCCAGGAGGCCCTGGTGTACCAATGTTCATGGCTCCATCACTCACCCCCTGGCGGGACAAGAATGACGATGAATTCGGCGATCCCCACAACCCGGCCATCAGACTTATCAGGTACAACCAGCAGACCGGAGTCCCACTTGACATCCACCAGTACAACATGAACCTGACTGCCAGCAACAGGAACAACGTCTCTGACTGGAAACTTGAATACAAAACCAGCGAAGCGTATGGGAGGTCTGATCTCTCGGCTGTTTCAATTGATAACATTATACAGGCCTTCAAGACAGACAAATCTCTTCTTGGCCAGTATATCAGACACCACTCCGTCCTGGCTAATGGAGAAACAACAGTCAATGCCTGTGACGAGAAGTGTCGAGCTGAATTAAACTGTGGTTTCATCCACATGACCGAGGGGTCGTTCGATTCTTGCTACACAGCAATAGTTGGAGGTTCGGCAAGGTTGTGTTCTTCGTCCCTTCTTATTGTCATGTTAGCCACCATGTGCTTTACAGTGTATTAGAGAGAAACATTTCTTTAAGATAGATGTGTAAATACGTGATCTTATTATAATGTAATCATAATATGATACAATAATCATTATCTGGATGTTATGTACAATTAACCAGAAGAGTTACAAACAAATCACTCCCATGATTGACATGTTATCCTAGCCCCTGTTGTTTGCACAAATCTTTATTATCGACAAATAGAAACAATCTGATGTTTTACGCATGAAACATATCATTCTTACAATATGATAAAACCAAAGTCAGTCAACTTATATATACTATGCAAAAATATAGGGGATATTGGGAATCATCGGGACATATCCACATGGAAATGATGTGGTCATATCTGCTGTGTAGTAGGTGATCAGATATAACGGATTCAAATGATTGGTATGATGAGATGGTATCGCATTGGGTCGTTGAAGAGGTTGGGGGGCATATTCGAAATTTGAAAATCTTGGAAATACTCAGATAACAAATCGTTAGACCAGCGTTTCCTCGGTTTGTAATTCGAAATTTGAAAATCTTGGAAATACTCAGAAAACAAATCGTTAGACCAGCGTTTCCTCGGATTTAAATGACGTGCGGTGAGTTTTTCGATGTCACGTGGACGTCGTGCACGCAAATGCCAGCGTATGGGCATGTACTCTTGCAGCAAATGCCTGTTGTAATCGGTTCCCTATTTGAATGGCAGGGGGATGGGGTAGGCTTATGGTTAAAACGTTTGCTCGTCACGCTGAAATCCCGGGTTCTATTCCCCAGATAGGTACAATGTAGAAAGCTCATTTCTAGTGTCCCCCGTGATATTGCTGGAATATTGCTAAAAGCGGCGTAAAACCATAGTCACTCACTCACTATTTCAGCGGCAGTTTGCAATTGATTTCTTAAAGTCACCGTTCTCACCAATCTTGAGCTGGAGATGTTTCTTGGTTAATATGCTAGAGACAATGACAAATAAACAACTTTCTCCTTATTCTTTTGGTTTTTTATTGACATGGTATACATAACCTTGGCGGAATATGTGGCGTTAGAAAACAACATGTGCTTTAGCAAATTCACGTTTTGCATTCACATTTACAGTTCATGAAGCATGTGGAAGTCTCTTTTAGTAGCCATAAGTCATCTTCAACGACCGCCCCACTCCACTGAATGGATGATGGCGTTGATGATGTAACTAGCTGTCACATGCGTCTGAAGTGGCTTGTACTGATAAAGACCTTCTGATGTAGCTAAAGTAGACGTGATTTCCGCACGCTCTGTGGAGTAGATTGATCTACACGTCTAACCTAAATCATCTAACTTGACATGGCCCTGTCAAGATATCTGTACTCATATCCAGATGACCCCACTGTACAATATAGCCAGTTCCGCTCACCAATCACATTGGAACCGTGAAGATCCGGGTTTGAATTGGTCTTCAAAACCCCATGCTTTTCGTAAGAGGCGACTAACGGGATCTGGTGGCCAGGCTTGCTGACTTCGTTGGCACAGGTCACTGTATGCCAAATAAGTAGATCAATGCTCATGCTGTCTGTCACTGGTTTATCTGGTCTAAACACGATTATTTACAGACCGCCGTCATTTAGCTGGAATATTAAGTGCGGCGTTAAACAACAAACAAACAAGTATGGGTTACTGAAGATCAATTCTAACTCAGATCTTCACGGGTCTGTCCGAAATAATACTGGGTTGAGTGAGTGGATTATGGTCGCTTTAAACAGTATTCCTTGTGTGCCACGTTATGTCACTTTGAGTGAGAGAAAAGAATGCCGTTCATAGACGTTTAACACTTTGGCATAAACAGCGAGAACAGGTAGACTAAAAACTAGGGCTCTCACGAGTACTCGGGTACTCGGGGCCGAGTCGGGTAAAACAGGACTCGAGTCCAATTGAATGGACTCGAGGACTCGCAGGGGAGATACCTCTAAACATCTCATGCAATCAAGATGAATGATCGTGAGAAAAAATCCAATGTCTGGACGCATTTTTATCTTGATTTAGTGGCCAAAATACGAAATGCCGTCTTTGTGGCGTTTCCCTTAGTTACGCAAGCATTTGTCCTGTAAGCACCCACAATAAGCACTGTAGACAGAAAACCAGCTCAACAAGCAACGCTGGGGCAGTAAGTTTGATAGCAAAAGTCGCAAGCCTGTTGACAGGAAATGGTATGAAGGTATAAGCAAAAAGCAATGCTTATGTGCGTTAAGGATATGCGACCATTAAGTCTTGTTAAAGGGGAGGGTTTCAGGGCTTTCTGTGAACCGTTGAACCCAAATTACCAGGTCCCATGTACTGCGACAATTCACAACTACCTCATAAAGTCGAATGAAGTTTGCAAGGAGAACAAAATATCAGTACCCAAAACAGTACCTGCTGTTGCCCTAACTACGGACGCGTGGACAAGCGTAACCACTCACGGCTGTATCACTGTCCCTGCCCACTATACCTATGTTTGAACAACTTGTTTTCTACATAGATATTCAGTCGTTCTTATCCAGCGTATTTCAGTGTTACATATTCAACAATCAACACATACATACGCATTCAAAATAACATTCACACTTGGAGACCTATATCCTTAATAGTGAAATTTTTTAATCACAATGAATACCATTGACGTGATCTCCGTTCAGCAGAGTTTCGGAAGAAGAAATACAGCGTAGTGTTACTCAATAAATGGTTAGTCTTTAGTTTGAAACCAAACCGTTTTCACTATAAGAAGTCTCAAATAAACATCAATCCTGTTTTACATATTCTTTAAGTTCCATAGTCGATCCATCTTTACAAGATACTAGTATCTAATGCAGCACCAATCAATGAATGCTTTATCTATGTATCTTCCAGCTTTGGAACGTGTTTTTGCCGCATTTTAACCGTGATTAAGGTTAATTGATTATGTGACTTATCGTCCAGGTGAATGTTTAAAAGTTGCTAATATGTCATAACTGCAACGACATATTAATATTAGATAATCTTGAAAGCGCAGTCAAACTTAAAACCAAAAGAAAAGAGAAGTACATTGATTGGTTTCTTTTCCCGGACACATCCAATCATATTACAGCATTTACAGGCGTAATAAGGTATCACCGGCCCAGCTCATGAATATTAATCACATAATTGATCGCGTAGAACTGGGTCACAGTGACACTTACGTTGCCTTCACATTCTGTTTGCAAATAAAAAGGTAATAGATACTTCCATTGACATTGAATATCAATTGCTTTATTCAGGAACGTTTGGATTCACATATACATGTTGCATTATTCGTAGATTGGAAGTTGGAACAGCTACGTGTATGCTTGAATGTTGGTTTCAGATAAGCATCCAAATTGTCGGGTACTCGGGTCCGAGTCGGGTCTCACACCTCGAGTACTCGAGTCCCAAATTTTGGACTCGTGAGAGCCCTACTAAAAACTCAATCCCAACCGGGATTTGAACCCGCAATGGCAGATGTTTGGCGTGCCCAAGGGACGCAACTCTACACAGCGAATAGCGGTGCTCTACACCTTTTGACTCCATGCCCCAACTGAAACACTGAGAAATCATAATATTGACACAAACTATACAATACTCCTAAAAGATCTGTTATCTGAAGGTTTAAATGTTAAGTTACCAACGAGTCGCATAACGCTTCAATATAATAACGGCGACCCGTGACGGTCCGGGTTAGAATATTGATCTTCAATAACCCAAGAGGCGTAAGAGGCGACTAACGGGATCGGGTGGTCAGACTCGCTGACTTGGTTGACACATGTCATCGGTTCCAAATTGCGCAGATCGATGCTCAGGCTGTTGATCACTGGATTGACTGGTCCAGATTCGATTATTTACAGACCGCCGCCATAAGCTGGATTATTGCTGAGTGCGGCGTAAAACTAAGCTCACTCACATAATAACGGCATGATGTAGAGACTCCGGGTAAAGTGCTTACCGGGAAGCAGGATGGGCTCAGTGACAAAAGGATTACCTCTATTCTTCAAAAGAGTGATTGAGTATGGCTTCACTCCGCTTTTAGCAATATTCCAGTAATATCATGGCAGGGGGACACAAGATATGGACTGGGGCGGTGGGGTAGCCTAGTGGTTAAAGCGTTGGCTCGTCACGCCGAAGACCCGGGTTCGATTCCCCACATGAGCACAATGTGTTAAGCCCATTTCTGGTGTCCCCCGCCGTGATATTGCTGGAATATTGCTAAAAGCGGCGTAAAACCAAACTCAGTCAGTCAGTCAAGATATGGACTTCACACAATGTACCCATGTGGGGAATCGAACCCCGGTCTTCCAGCGTGACGAGCGGACGCATTAACCATTAGGCTACCCCACCTCTCCTCTTCCAAAGATGTTTGTGTAGAGTTGTTGACCATCCTGTTGGAGCAGTCAGGTATGCTTGATTCATCTTGATCTAACTTACATTTTGTTCGGCTTGTGGGTCACAGTTAATGTACTTTTGCACACCGCCTCGTCTCACGTGACTGGGACGACAGTACGACGGATTAAGTGACCTGGGATAGTGATGTTAGATCACGCAACACGGAGCAGAATGTACTACGGTTGGATAAAACTGTTTTGTATACTTGTGTTATATTCAACATCTGCCGGTGCACAAGAAGGTGAGATGAAGGATTTTTTCATTATTAGTGTGTGTACAAAACATATCGAAACCAGAAAACAAGTTATTTAACATTAACATGAAATACGTGTTCTTGTATTGCGATATAATGAGAATATACGACGATTAAAAAGGAGGAAAGGGGAATGCCTGTGTTCTGCGGCGAGGGGTGAAAGGGAGAAGGTGCTGAATGAGTTCTGCAGAGAATGGAAGAAAGAGAGAGTGGTGTGTTTGTAGTGAGGAGAAAAGAGCTTCTGTTATCTGTGGAGAAGAAGCAGAGAGAGATACCGATGTTTTTGCTTTGAAGCAAGGTGAAGGAAGATGGTTGTGCCCGTGTTCTAGAGAGGGGGGAAGGGAGAGAAATAACAGTGTCTGCAGAAAGGGACAGTAAACAGAGGTTAATGAGTGTATGGGTTCTGCAGAAAGGGACAGTCAATACAGATTAATCAGCGTCTGGGTTCTGCAGAAAGGGACAGTCAACACAGTTAAATCAGCGTATGGGTTCTGCAGAAAAAGAAGTGAACAACGCAGGGTTTGAAAATAGGTATGGTGTATGTGCTCTGTAGAATGAGGAAAGAGAGTTCTCAGCTATCGTGGTGTAAATGTGCTCTGCATTCGAGTTTTAAAAAATGACCGGTTGCTTCAGTGACAAGTGATCACATTCCAGTATAACAGCAGACTACTGTAATACCATCTCTAATCATCCAAACTTTACATATGAATAAAGGTAGGTAAGTATGTTTCATTGCATGGAACTTTCAGCACTAATAAAATACTAAATACATTTCAAATAAATTTTAGATCCTCTGGATTATACAAAGAGCTCCCGTTTACATTGTTTACTGACATTGGATACTCTGTGTAAACACGCCACTCATGACTGTCATGTGTTATTGGAGATTGAATGTTTGGTTCTCTGGTTTTCAAACCTTTCAACACCCTGGTACCTCGACGAGTTTAGAAACATGCAATCAAGAGTACACCCCTTTTTTCTAACTCGGGCAATTGTTTCTGCTGCATTGCTGCATTGCTTTTCATCCACATATTGTGTCTGTGGCTTATTTCTTTAGTAATAATATGTATTGCCCTGAGACATTTTGATGTAGAGATTCTCGTGGTGATCTGCGCTATGTCCACAGCATTACGTGGCGGGTCGCAAGGGGAGACTATGGATCAGGTTCAAGATCAAGTCAAGTCAACCCCTTAGTATGTGCTCATTCTATCAACCACTGGTTTATCTATCACACGTCCGATTAATTATTTACAGGCGGTTGTGATATAACAGGCAAACAGGTACGACTGTGTTGTTTTAAAAGTTATCACACTCTCTTGCAAAACATATGATGAATGCAATGAAAGCTCAAACTTCCTTCTTTGCTTCTTGCAAAAGCAGATCGGTAGGGTAGCCTAGTGGTTAAAGCGTCCACTAAACACGGCGAAGACCTGGATTGAATTCCCCACACGGGCACAAATTGTGAAGATCATTTCTGGCGTCCTGCGCCGTAAAAAATGCCGGAATAGTGCTAGAAGCGGCGCAAAACTAAACTCGCTGCTTCACGTCATGGTTTTACGCCGTTCCAGTGTCGTCGGTGTTTTGAGAGAGGCTACCTCAAAACCTGGTCTCCTCATAACGTGGAGAAGCCTCGCGACCTTCAGGTATTATTCAAGTCATCACACAGTGTCACGATATTTATATTAAAGTGTGTAAACACGCTCGAACCGTAGTCAAAAATCCAGAATAGCGAGTCTCGCGAGCGTTCCGAGACCCAAATACCTTCCCCTATTAAGATACGTGCCTGTAGTGACCCCGGGTCCTACTCCTGGATGTTTGCTTGCAGGGTTTGAATGTCCTAGATGTAATGTTATGCGTCAGGGTGATAGAGTATGAACGTATATTCATATATTCATTGAATATATAGGTTAGTATTTAGTCCAGACTGGATTCTTAATATACTAAACAATAGTCAGGGCTCATTTATCATTATTACCCCAAATCCTCAACCCCAAATCTCACAACCTCACAACACCCATCCCCAACCCACAGCCTCATAAACACCTTTTCCTTACCCCAAAACCTCACAATACCCATCCCCAACCCCAATTCCCTGCATGTCTCAACCTCACAACACAACACTCATCCCAACCCCAAACCCAAACCACATAACCCCACAGCCTCTCAAACACCTTTTGCTAACCCCCAAACCTCACAATACCCATCCCCAACCCCAGTACCCCGCATGTCTCAGCCTCACAACACAACACTCATCCCAACCCCAAACCACATAACCCCACAGCCTCTCAAACACCTTTTCCTCACCCCAAAACCTCACAATACCCATCCCCAACCCCAATACCCCGCATGTCTCAACCTCACAACACAACACTCATCCCATCCACAAACCACAAACACCACAGCCCCACAAACACCTATTCCCAACCCCACAGCCTCATAATACCCATCCCCATCTCACAACCACAACCCCGCATCCAACAAGCTCACAACATCCATCCCAACCCCAAAACCCCACTGCCTCACAACACCCATCTCTAAACCAACACCCCGCATCCCACAACTTAGGAGCGTTACGTTTCCAAATTTGTTTCTGAACCATTTGAGACCATTCGGATATTTCCGGTATTACAACTGGATGCAAATGGGTAGTGATAGTTAAAGAGTTAACTGTAAATGTTGTGTGGCCGGGTCCCGCCACCTTCAGTTCGTTTATAAACCTAACCCTTATCCGTTATTGAAGAGGTAGCTTAAAACCTTGGAATAACCTCAAATTAAAGGTTTTACCAGTTGTAAAACCTGGTTAGAGGTTTGACTTTTTCATTAAAGTCCCCTAACAGGTTTTCCCTCCCTTTAGGATTTTCTTATACACAGAGGGGCGGTGGGGTAGCCTAATGGTTAAAGCGTTCGCTCGTCACGCCGAAGACCCGGGTTCGATTCCCCACATGGGTACAATGTGTGAAGCCCATTTCTGGTGTCCTCCGCCGTGATATTGCTGGAATATTGCTAAAAGCGGCGTAAAACTAAACTCACTCACTCACTCTTATACACGGAAGTCCTCGGAGAGGTGTGTTCTCCTTCACACAACATGACGACCGCATGTGAAAACGGGTGCATCACAAAACTGGCATATATTTCGATGTGAAGAATACAGTCGAAAACTGTGTGACAGTTATGTAAGGTTTATGACGTTCGGACCAACTCGTGTTATTCCGGAACAAGCCTCTACTTTGAGGTTACGGAAATGGGCCAGTGTTGACGAATGGGTTCATCACTGTTGCCGGCATTCGTCACCACTCGCCCCTTTCCGTAACCTCGAGTTGGTCACGAATGTGTTGCCAAACAGGCCAGAGTATACCCCTGTGTCAGACTATACCCGTGGGTTAAACTGGTCTAGCCCAGACTATACCCCAGGTATAACCTGGGCTAGCCTAGTTTATACCCCGGGGTATATTCTGGACTAGGCCATAGCATACACACACACACACACACACACACACACACACACACACCCCCAGCCCAGATTATACCCCTACAGAAAACAAATGATTAAGGATACTACTATAATTTCATTGTACTTCTCACACAATTAAACACTGGTTACAACATTGAAATGGTCCGATACATTCTCCAGGTACAAAGCATAATCAGTCTGGGTTTTCAAGCTGAATCTGGCAGGGTATGTCAGCCATTGCATTGACTGACCAACTGTACTGTAAATGTAAATGTCACATCGTAACAGACTTGCTGTTGACATAACTTCTGCATCTGTTGCCCACACTCCATCTCGTGAAATTCCTGAATTAGTGATGTACTCATTGACATTTTGGTTCAGGAAATGTTTTAGTTCATTATTTATGTCATTGTTCATATGCTGAACCACTCGATCTCGGATAGTGCTGTGACTGTCTTCGGATCCTGTCAGGCTGTAACTGGTGCAGCGGAAGTAGCAGATGCCGTCGCATTTGGTTCTGTATGTCCGTCGGGGTGCTGTCAAGTCTGTTGATCTTCCGTAATAAATGTCCTTTGAAGAGTTCAGGCCTTATGCAGCAGCCAAAATCCTTCGAGCATTTTGGGGGATAGGGTTGAACAAACGGGTTGACTTGATTTGTGTGGTAGTATGGTCTGTATGGTCGCCTGACTCCAGTTCATCTCTGAGTCTTTTTCGATGCTTCGGATCGTCAACAGAATCACTGGGGCTTTCGGCTTTGTTGTTAGTGGGTGGGTCACTGGAGTAGATTTTGAGGTTACTGGCGTGGTATGTGTTGTTCAGGATTTTGTTGGTTTTCACGCTCTGTAGCTTCACACGACCTTTGGTCAAGGTCTCGGCGACGGAGTATGGTCCAGTCCAGCGTGGCTCCATCTTGGCTCCCATCCTCTGGACTCGTCGGTTATTCTTGATGTACACTGTTGATCCAACAGCTATCTCCTTGTTGCTGGTGTGCCGTCGATCGTAGTTTTCTTTCTGGCGATCCTGTGCATTGGAGATATTGTCGGAAACAGTGAAACAGATGCCTTTGCGTAGATCGAGGATGGTTTCCAGCCCGGAGTCACACACTCATATTGAGTGAATTGTAAACATAATTGTTTAGGGGTATAGGCTGGGCTGGAGGGGTATACTTTGGCCTGGTCCAGAATATACCCCCGGGGTATAAACTGGGCTAGCCTATAGTTTACCCCGGGGTATAATCTGGTGAGGGTAATGCCAACCAAACCCCACCCTTAAATGTACCCGGTCTCGCAAACCAGTCACGCATTCCACTGAATATATTTGGCACTTTCTTCTCCTCACAGTGCGTACCGAAACCCAATTAACCTATTAATGTACTGTTTAACATTAATCGAGTCGTTAAAAGACGTTTGTGTAACCCTGTGCGCAAGGGGGCAGACGTTGAACACCTCGAAGGGAATATTCCCGGGAATGCAAAGTAAGCAGAGAGCTAGATTGTCATCATCATGATTATCATTATCATCATGATTATCATTATTATCATCATCATGATTATCATTATTATCATTATCATGTGAATGAGTAGGTGAAACGTGTTTTACACTGCTTTAAGCAATATTCCAGCAATATCACTGCGGGGGACACCAGGCTTAACGCATTGAGTCCATGTGGGGAGCCCGGGCCTTTGGCGTGACATGCGAACGCTTTAACCACGAGGCTACCCAACCGCTACAAACATATAGAACCGTCCCTCGCTCAAAGGCTTCATGCTATCAACCACTTTACTGGGCTAGAGTGAGTGAGTAAGTCTAGCTTTACGCCACACTCAGCAATATTCCAGCTGTATGGCGGCGGTCTGTACAAAATAGGGTCTGGACCTGACAATCCAGGGATCAACAGCATGAGCATCGATCTACGCAATCGGGATACGATGACACGTGTCAACCAAGTCAGCGAGCCTGATCACCCGATCCCCGTCAGTCGCCTCTTACGACAAGCATGGGTCACTGATGATCAATTCTAACCCGGATCTTCACGGGTCTGGGCTAAAGTAGTAACTTGCTGTCGTGATGTTAATAATTGTTGAAGTGTGAGTGAATGAGTGAGTGAGTGAGTGAGAGTTTTAGGCGACACCTCATCATCCTTACCTATATATACAGGTGAAAAGAAGTGTACTTGTGACGCGTGGCTATTAAAAATCATGCAATGGAATGAGCAGCGTACTGTAACTGATGCAAGTCAAATTATCCATACTCTCTCCTTTGTGCGAACCACATCTTTGGTAGAGCCCTGACTAATCAGATCACACTCTTCTTTCCCTATCTCTGAAAACACGACGTGAAGATTCGCGTTAGAATTGGCCTTCAGTAACCCATGCTTGTCGTAAGAGGCGGGTGGTCAGGCTTGCTGACTTAGTTGACACATGTCATCGTATACCACTTGCGTAGATCGATGCTCATGTTGTTGATCACTGGCTTGTCTGGTCCAGATTCGATTATTTTCAGGACGCCACAATATAGCTGGAATATTTCTGAGTGCGGCGTAAACCTAAACTCATTCACTCACCCATGCCACCCAATCCCACCCACCAACCCACTCACTCACTCATTCACTCACTCACCCTGTGGCCGTGCCACATATATAGCAGTAATCCAGCAATATCACGAGGGGGACAACAGAAATGGGCTTCACACACTGAACAATGATGGGCATTGAACCTGGGTCTTCGGCGTGATGAGCGAACGCTTTAACCACTCGGCTACCTAACCACCTCCCAATGTACCAAGTATTGACGATTAATTCTATATCTATAAAGATGTAAATGTTGACTAACACGTCAGGATTATACTGATACATGTGGTTATTCAGAAGCAACTTGACTTTTTCTAAGGTTACTTCTGGCACATCACGGACTATCATTACGACACAACGTACTGGTCTGAGATGCGGTCCTGTAATGACGAAGTTCCGGTTCGTGGTATCTATGGCGACTACTGGTGTGACTCCCCCTGGCGGCTCGTACTCGACAGCATCAACGCCATGGCCGACATAGAGAGAGACGTCGACTTCATCCTCTGGACTGGGTAAAGATGCTTGATATTCATTTGATTCCAAAATATCACTTATTAATTCGAATCAGTATTTTATGTCAAAATATCGGTGGTGGAGTCATACTTGCTGACAGTGTTTGAAACCTTTACACAAAGAACGTGCGTACATGGCTTGAACTCAGCCCTTTGTATAATCTTGCAGGAAGTCCAAGTGTTCCAGAATGCGTGGATATTTGGTGTAAATCTGTCCAGGGTGCTTTTAAAAAAGGGATTGTTGTTGAAACGCGACAAGGGCACAATGTGCTTTTTTAAAAAGGAGCGTTGTTGAAACCCGACAAGGTGCTCTTAAAAGAAGGATTGTTGTTGAAACCCGACAGGTGCGCAAGGTGCTTTTAAAAGTAGGATCGTTGTTGAAACGCGACAAGGGCACAATGTGCTTTTTTCACAACAGATCCTTGTTGAAACCCGACAAGTGGGCAAGGTGCTTTTAAAAAAATGATCGTTGATGAAACGCGATAAGGGCATAATGTGCTTTTAAAAAAAGGATCGTTGTTGAAACGCAATGTGCTATTAAAAGAAGGATCGTTGTTAAAACAGTTGTGGTAACAGTTCGGCAGAACTGTGCCTCAACTGACCACTGGCAACACGAGTCTTGGTTTCAAGGGCTCTGAAATAGATCGTGATTCGGGCACCCTGAGAACACTTCTCCAAACCCATCACATCCCGAAGTAGATTCCAAATTAAGCAAATAATAAAGATTTACCTACCCTCAAAACGATTACATTCTCCATTCACGACATAACATGTATTTTTGCAACAGTGGTGATTAGAATTCAAACTGCACTCTTCCTGGATAAACCATCTGGGTTGTATAAGGACTTCATTCCTTCTTAATAGCACAAATAACGTATTTTTCAGGCAAACATTCATATATTTTATTCTTCTGATTCGTAGTGTATGCCTCTGACTGAAATATATATTGATGGTAAACTAGAACGTGTTCTCGATTATTAAGTCAGGTCTATATGTATGGAGAATCCTTGTCATGAAGAGTGAGTTTTTGTCTTGTTGTGGTGGTCAAGTCAATGCGCGACAGAAATTCTGCACGAGTGAGCGGTTGGGTTTAGATTTACGCCGCATTCAGTTTACGTCGAGTCTAGACCAGACAATCCAGTGATCAACTGCATGAGTATCGATTTACTCATTTGTGATACGATGACATGAGTGATCCAAGTCAGAGAACTCTGCACGCATGAGAGAAGACCACGATCAAATCATTTTCGCGACGAAGATACAGTGTATGTAATCCTGGCTGTGCAGATAAGCATGGGCGTGTTGATTGTGAAAATACGTGCTCTGTCAAAACTAATTAATATGTATTTTGTTCTTTTGCTTGCCGTGTTGTTAAACGCGGTGCTCAGATGAATCCTGTGATATGACGGCGGACTGTAACGAAGGTAACATGGATCAGACAATCTAGTGATGGATATTATGAGCAACCTTCAACGCCGTCAAAGTAAGATGACATCTGCAATTTACTGAGGCGAAACATCCGATCCAGTAGGTTGAGGTTTTGCGAACGAGGGATCGGGTTTGTAGTACTCACGGAAATAGAAATATTTTTTTAAATGTTTTTGGCTTTTATTTGTTTATAACTTCATTAAGGTAGTTTAACAAATATTAAAATAGCTATGTTTTTCCCAACTAAGCCTTTTAATTTGGTCCTCTTTATCATCATCCAAAATACCATTTTACAAAAATTTGCATATTATCAACAAATTTAGAAACATGTTATAACTTACGTCATAATCAACAATGGGTGGTAACAACTACCTGCTGCACTGTTTAGACGGGAAGATGCACGTGCGTTGCCATAGCGATTTCGCAATTGACAATCAAGGCTAAGTATGAACGAACTCGTAAATATAGCAAACTTTCAACAAGAGTACAGGCATAAAATATGTAATGAGAAAATCCCTAAATCAATTATTTTGTATATCAATTAGGATATACAGGATAAATAGTATATGACGTTTTTCATAAAATATGTCATGTACGCGAACCTATGGAGATTACATCTCATTTGCATACTATAGCTTGCATCAGAAACGTACATTGTGACTTTGATAAAATTCCAAGAGGTTAAAATGACACGATTTGCACTCCTGTAAAGTCGTCTATTTCGGATGATTTTACAAAGAGTGTGAAAACAAAAGTTGGAAAAAACGATATTCATAGAATATTTAAGAATGAAACTTCAGTTGTGTTCAAAACTTCGAAATAAAGGCCAAAAATCATTTCATTTCAATTTCCGTGAGTACTTTAGAAGGTACACTCCATCTTATCATCACAACACCCTCTCCAGCCACCCCTGGTCCGTATAGACTAAACAAAGCGCAAATGCCTTACAACATAGCTATACTATCTATCTGTATTTCCATTGCTTGTTACAGTGATAACGTGGCCCACATCGCAGATCAGTACACCAATGAGACATACGTCGTGCACATCCTCAGCAGTATCACTGACGCCCTGAAGACGGCGTTCCCAGGGGTCAAGGTCTACGCCACGATGGGGAACCACGACTGGTATCCTTCCGACCAGCTCCCAGACACACCGCACCTCCTGTACAACGCCACTGCGGAACTCTGGGAAGACTGGATTGGCGATGCAGAACAGATGGCGAACTTCCGTAAAGGTAGTCTAAGACAAACCTATTTCCAAGTTGGAAAGATAATATTATCAGAATGTTTCCAAATTATATTCATAGTTTCTTGATAAACGTCTACTTGGATCTGTCTAACGTCATATAATCGGAAGAAGTCATTAACAGTAGAATGTTTGGAGTTTTTTTGAAGTAACACCACTCCCGTGGTTCAACCGATTGTACAGATGTGCTATTGGTCAGGGTTCCGCAAAGTGATCAGAGAGTTGTGGCCCTACTAACATTACTGACGTAACGCCTCTCCCATGGTTCAACCGCTGTGGATACACCTACAGAATACCGGATACCTACCAGCCATATTGTTTAGTGTCACATGCACTTGATAAACCACAAAATTCGAAAAAATAAGGGGGCATCAAAATAAAAAAATAACCATTAAAATCAGAATTTGGGACGACTTCTGGTCAGTAAAACTAACCAACGATTTTGAAAATGAAAGGTAAGTTATCACAATAAAAAAATGTATATGAGTCTTTGAAATAACGAAGCTTCGAAATTCAGGGAGTTGGAGCGATTGAGCGTGGGAAAGTTACCTAACCCTAACCCTAACCCTAACCCTAACCCCCTAACCCTAACCCTAACCCTAACCCTAACCTTATTAGTTAAACAAACCTAAAAGAAGAGAGTAACGGATATCCGAGGGCTAAAAAGTAAGTACATTAAGATAGCGAAGTACTGAAAACTCGAGTTGAGTTGTGCACATTTTTTGCGCAGTTTCTAAAGTTTTCAAAAATGGCGGAAGTTATCCGGTATTCTGTAGTTTTTCCCCACTGTGTACACATGTGACATTGGTCATAGTTCCGCAAAGTGATCACAGAATTGTACAATCTGCCTGTATTTTTTCTCCCACATTGTGCTGAGAGGTAAAAAACTGCTTTATGTAAGGTTAAAGCATACACTTTTCTGTTACGAAAGTCTTATGTTTCTGTTTATGTTTATCTGTCAGGCGCCTACTACACAGTAAAGACGGCTCAGGGACTGAGGATTATAGGACTGAACACAAACATTTACTACACGTCGGACAAACTGACTGCTGCACTGACCGACCCTGTTGGTCAGTTCGCCTGGCTGGAGGCGGTCCTCAAGAACGCCAAGGTTGCTGGAGAAAAGGTGATTTCTTGATGTTACAAAGCAACACAGTTTCTTTGCAGTTTAGGGTTACGTGTTTTGGAAAGTCGTTGAAGATCCTTCAAAACGCACATTTAAAACGTTACTTAAATTATTTCTTTAAACCTTTCCCTGCTTAAGGTGTTGATGACTGCCCACGTCCCTCCAGGCTTCCACGTCCCAGAGAAGGTCCAATGGTTTTACAACCATTACAACACCCGCTTTCTAGATATCAGCCGTACATACTCCGACATCATCGTGGGCATGTTCTTCGGTCACAACCACGCCGACGCATTCAAACTCTTGCAAATGTCTGGTGGTAGGTAGACCTTTTTTTCCCATCTCCCAATCACCTGCAGTGCTACGATCGAAACACTGATGTGATCAAAAAATCCTGTGTGACAAGAGTCCTGCTAATCTTGGTTATGATAAAGTCGTTACATATAAATATATTCTGAACAAGTGATATTTTCAAGATCAAAAGTATTATCAAAAGTCTCTTTAGGGATAAATCTCTGACACCATTCTTTTTGTCGAAGCCCGTCATTCGTGCAAGGAATAATTGATCTGGTTGGTCAATACTTGGTGTCATAACTGAATTATTACCAGTGGTGTGTTATTTAAATTTACGTACTTAAAGAAACCGGTTTTGTATTCCATGTCCTCTTTATGTTGACACGATACATGACACCTCAAAGGAGATTCGGCTTTGCATTTTGTTTTAGTTTTGTTTGTTTTTTCATTGTGGAATATATACTGAACATCATTGAAAACGCACCACTTATAAAAGTTCAGATTATTAAAAGCACATGTAAGGAATTGATATTTTTTGAGTGGATAATAACAGATGGACAACTGACAAAAACAACAACACAGAAAAGGCGCTCATTCATTGAAATGTTCCACAGTCAGAAAGGATCAAACACACGTGGGGTCAAATCGTAAAATCAATATCGCGTGTGACCGCCATTTGCATTGACACATGCAGTTCAACGTCCCCTCATTGAGTCAATAAGCGTCCGAATAGAGTTCTTGAGGATGGCATTCCACTTCTGCAGTAGTGCAGCCTCAAGTTCCGGATGTTTCGCATCTGTTGTCGCCGCGAAAGACTTTGACCAATTTCGTCCCACAAGTGCTCCATGGAGGATACATCTGGCGACTGTGCTGGCCAATGAATAACCTGGATGTGTTGCTGGGCCAGATACTGCATGGAAAGTCTTGTTGTGTGTGCCCGTGCGTTGTCCTGTTAAAAAGTATGGACATCTTGGTGGTGATGGAAGACAGATACGATGTGATTCTGAAGAATGTGCCCTCGGTAATAAAGGGCATTAACTCTCCCTTGACAGACATGAAGGCAGTCCTGTGATTGTAATTTATTCCACCCCAGACCATGACACTCCCACCACCCAAAGTTCTGTCTGAACCACACACTCATCAGCATAACGTTCACCACGTCTACGCCAAACACGTAATCGTCCGTCAGCATTACGTAGATGAAGATGTGACTCGTCAGTGACTACCACACCTTGCCATTGTTGTAACCTTTACTGAAAATGCCTGCTAGCCCATTGTATACGCTCATTACGGTGACTGTCAGTCAGAATTGGTCCAACGTATGGACGTCGAGCATGGAGCCCTGTAGCGTGTAGACGGCGTCGCATGGAGTCAGCGCTGATGACCCCCACGTCAACCTTGAACTAGTGCAGCAGTCCTTGCAGTCGGCAGTGTTCAATCACTGATATGGACAAGGTCAATATGGCGATCCTGATGGAGCGTCGTAACACGTTGTTGCCAAGGTCATTGAAGGTCACGGGTGCTGCCTGTCTACTGATGTCGTCTATGAAGCCTAACGATGGTGGAGTGGCCAAGTCCAAGTTGTCGAGCAATATCCCTGCTGCTGGTGCCAACCTGAATCATGCCTAGTGCACGTTCTATTTCGGCATTTCTGTCCTCGTTTCACAATCGTTAGTAAAGCAATGAGAATCGGTTTTCATACACCTGCTTTTAATGTCACAGTCAGTATGAATTCAGAATGAAATTCGCGCTTTTTTCATGGCGTGGCTGCATGTTGATGCATTTTGGAATTAAGAGTCATACTGTGGACAGGAATTTGTTTCTAAAGCATTTTTTTCAACTGGACATGCCCTTCGACTTCATGTTAGTTATATTCATTGATCATTGTCATATTGAAATCCATCTTGATGAAAATATGGACAGTTTTAGACTGGTGCGTTTTCAATAATGTTCAGTATTAGATTACGGAATTAGTCTATGTCTGTAAACTCGTGCTTGAAGTGGGTATTCATCCCACTTTAAAGTACGAACACATTGCATAACATGTTGTGCGTGGTTTAAACACCGCTTTTAACATTATTCCAGTAATATCGCAGCAGGTCTGTTTAATGTGGAAGGAAATCCCGTAGTGATGCTGGTCTACCCGTTTACCACCTTTTGTAAATCTCACGAGCATGGGGAGCGGTGGGGTAGCCTAGTGGTTATAGCGTTCGCTCGTCACGCCGGGTTAGATTCCCCACATGGATACAATGTGTGAAGCCCATTTCTGGTGTCCCCGCCGTGATATTGCTGGAATATTGCTAAAAGAGGCGTAAAACTAAACTCACTCACTCACGAGCATAGGTGTTGGTGCTGACCTACCGGTTTATGATGACCTGTGCATGACGGTAGGTTCTATTCTGTTTATTCCAGGAGGTCCTGGTGTACCAATGTTCATGGCTCCATCACTCACCCCCTGGCGATACAAGAATGACGATGTAACCAGCGATCCCCACAACCCAGCCATCAGACTTATAAAGTACAACCAGCAAAACGGAGTCCCACTAGACATCCACCAGTATTACATGAACCTGACTGCCAGCAACAGAAACAACGCCTCTGACTGGAAACTAGAGTACAAAGCCACCGAAGCGTACGGGCAGTCTGATCTCTCGGCTGTTTCAATTGATAACATTATACAGGCCTTCAAGACAGACAAATCTCTTCTTGATCAGTATATCAGACACCATTCCGTCCTGGCTAATGGAGAAACAACAGTCAATGCCTGTGACGAGAAGTGTCGAGCTGAATTAAACTGTGGTTTCATCCACATGACCGAGGGGTCGTTCGATTCTTGCTACACAGCAATAGTTGGAGGTTCGACAAGGCTGTGTTCTTCGTCCCTTCTTATTGTCATGTTAGCCACCATGTGCTATACAGTGTATTAGAGACAAACATCGATACCTCTTTAAGATAGATGTGTAAATACGTGATCCTGTCATAATACACACAAAGAACTTAATTAAGCACCCCATGTATTTTTGCAATGATAGGTTTTCTGACCCGTATGATCCTTCGGCTCATAAAATGACAAAATGATTGGAATCCATTTTGATTTTATGATGATAATTGCTCATTAAAACAAAACCCACTGATTTTCATACAAAACCATGTCTGCACAAGTATGGCCCTGGAATGTCAATTTTATTGGTTAATGTGAACATTGGAAATGTCATTTTGCGTGTTTCAAGGTCAATACCGAGTGTAACCTCCAAGTGACTGTATGTCAGCCAGTACTCTCCTCCTCATACCCCCTGTCAGCCTCCTGGTCCTCTGAAGGGGCAGTGTACGACATTCCTTGTGTAAAGCAGCTTCCAACTGAGCCAGGTTCTGTACAGGAGGATCTCTTTCTTGCACACAACGACCAATCATGCCCCAGATATGCTCCAAAGGGTTACGATCGGGGCTCATTCAATCGTGAGATGTCAGGGGTGCTTAACTAAGTTCTTTGTGTATATATTCATGATATGATACGATAAACATGATCTGAATGTTATGTACAATTAACCAGAAGAGTTGCAATCTAATGACACCCGTAATCCTAGTTCCTGTTTTCAATAATCTTTACATTACAAATAAAACCAATCTGATGTTTTACACATGCTATGTTTTACACGTGCGGTGTTTTACTCATGAAACATACCTTGCGATATGATAAAACCAGCGTCAGTAAATTTGAAGAATTTTTTCAACTTTAACATATACTATGCACAAAATGTAGGGGATAGTGGGAATCATCAGGACATATCCATATGGTCCTGGCCAATGGAAATGATATTATCATATTTGCTGTGGAGTAGGTGATCAGATATAACGGATTCAAGTGGTTGGTATGATGGGATTGTGGTGCATTTGGGTCACTGAAGAGATCGGGGGTCAAATTCGAAATTTGAAAATCTTAGAAAACATATCGTTAGTCCAGCGTTTCGTTTGTTTTAAATGACGTGCAGTGGGGTTGTCGGTGATACATGAACGTCGGGCACGCACATGCCTTCATAGGAGACTATGTTGCACCCTTTGGGCATGCACTCTTGCATCAAATGCCTGTTGTAATTTGTCCCCTATTTGAGTGGCGGTGTGCGAGAAGCACGTGCATAAGTGCCCGCCAAGTTATTGATTCATTAGCCTGTGCTGTGCCGTCGCCATCCTTTCGCGCACACCTGGCTGTCCCTTTCTCTGTACTCCTCCCTCGTAACAAATAGTGAACTGTGTCAAAATTTTAATGATAGTTTCTTAAAGAACTTTTTTGGTGGAGTCGGGAAAATTTTCAAATATAAGAAAGCTGTTGGGTATTAGTAAATGATAAACATGTGTACTATTTATATTTATGTGGCAATTTTGTACAATGATAAAATTTGCAATTCATCGGTCCGTTTCTGACTCAAACGGACTGTAGTGTACAGTAGTTCGGAACGTGAAAACTGATATTACTGTTGTTTTTGCAAGAGTTAGTTGAACTGTGTCAGCTATATTCTTTATGGGTGGTGGGGTAGCCTAGTGGTTAAAGCGTTCGCTCGTCACGTCGAAGACCCGGGTTCGATTCCCCACATGGGTACAATGTGTGAAGCCCATTTCTTGTAACCCGCCGTGATATTGCTGGAATATTGCTTAAAACGGCGTAAAACTAAACTCACTCACTCAACACACAGCTTGTATACTTCGATGCACAAATCGTTACACATAACACTTAAAGGTCTCCCTGATTTTAAACAGTATGCCACACATTAGTGACCTCACCCCGACAATGGCCGCTCATTACACAAATGAAACAGTCATTGAGGTACAAACTGGTAAAAAGGAGATTTTGAGTTTCAAAATGAAGGAAGCAGGTACTTCCACTTACTGAATATGTTGGAGGTAATAGATAATGACCAATACTCGTTAAATAGTTCAAATATATTATAAATTATAACTGGGTTTAAAGATGCAAAACAACAGTTGATAATATGACACTATGTAATAGTCCAACTAACATTTTGTAAAAATATTCTTCGTTTGGGGTTCTTTTGTTTTGTTTATTAGTTTGTTTGTATTTTTTTCTAATTTGTGTTTTTTTGTACATTGCCATTTACAATATAAAGTAAGGAAGCCAGTAGACTAACAGCTAGTCTCTGAAACGAACATATTTAACTGACAAAAAGTTTTAAAATTAAAATAAAATACAATGAAAAGGAGCCCAGAGACTTTCTTCATTTTCAGAAACTGTGGAAACCTGTACTTGCCACACATTCTACACTTGCACGGGCTACATTGGGTAAATTTGCTTCAGGGTCTGCACTGCAGACTAGGAACCTAGATAATGTCATCAGTTGTTTTAAACATATTTTATTCACAGAGAAAAGGATTAGGAACAAGTTCTCCAACTTAGAAAACCCTCTCCTTGGTATGTACATAGGTAATTTAGAGTCCGGCAACTAAAGATGACAGATAGTGGACAAGAAAGTAGTATAAGAAAAAGAGATAGATCTTAAAGAGAATAATATCAATATGCTATGCAAATCGTTTTGTCATCAGTTTCAAACTAACCCTTAGTATTACAGACTTAGCTGTGAGTTATAACATCATGATTTATCTTGCCTCACACAAAAATGTCGTTTTCTGATTGGCTGAGCGCTCTTCTATTATTTTCAATGTACCCCACTTACAAGCGAGTAACATTTTCTATGTACCCCGCTGGGAATGCCGAACTCATTTGGTACTTCGTAGTAGAAATTCTTCATCTCGAAAAACATTGAATCACGTATGATGTACGGAGATTACAGATGTTTTGCGAATGCAAATCGATGGAAGGGAGATAACTCTTAATTTGTTTTTCTTGTCTGGTACTCCATGCTATGATCCGATACCCGTGCTTCAAACAGTTCAAAATTACCATTGAGGTAATTCGGTAAGATAAATAGGTTGTTCACTGGTCGCTCGGGGCCCATGGGTAGATGTACCCTGATGTTTGTTTATGGGCTCAGGGAACATAAAGAAACATCGAGGGTACATCAACCCATGTCCCCTTCGAGACCAGCGAACAACTTATAATGGTCTGTGTATGAGAGCAAATAGGATAGTGATATACTTGTTGTGACACCTCGAAGACAACAGAAGAATATTTCAAGGCAGTGATCACTTTCGTTGGTATAAAGACATCTCTCGGGCAGTGTGCGAAATAGTTTCCAAATTTTGCTAGCCAGTCGATCCAGCTATGCCTGAAAGTTACTAGCCCACAGAATAATTCACTAGTCCGAAATTTGAATGTAGACACTTTTTTTATCATGAAGCTGCTAATATTGTGATCATTTTTATCAGGCCATTTTTATTAGATCATTTAAAAATGTATAATAACTTAACAAGTCGGAGAGAGAGATGTATTTACAAAATGACCCCATGAAAATTGACTAGCCAGTCGGGCCAGTGACTGTGGAGATTTACTGGCCCGATTGGATTTTTACTAGCCACGGGCCGGTGGCTATTTCGCACACTGCTCTCAGCAATAACATAAACTCTGCAACAGGTGTTCGTTTCCTTCGCATTGTCAATGAACACGCATCCACGGCATGGCATCATGGTAATATGTCCTATGAAAGATGACAAAAGTTATTCTCTAATATGAAAATTGGTCTTTTATTACAAATATATACAGGACGTGAACAAGTGGACAAAAAGTAATCAACAGATCATGGAATATGAAGTCAAGGCCAATTATTTAGAATAAGAAAAAACATAAAAAGTATTTTACCCCGCTTAAAAAATAAAATCCTGAGGTTTTAAGCCTAAAATGTAAACCAAAAACAATTTTTTATAGTTTTTTAAATCGTTTTTTTTACCCATATACACTTCATAAATTGCTAAAAGTAAAATGATTTTAGTATTTTTTAGGAATGTTACTTTGACTGGTGATCTTTTTCATATTTTTTGTCTTTCTGGCCTTAATTTTTCTAAGGACAAAAATCTGTAAAACAAGAAATAAAATTGTTGTGGCCAAATTAAAATTAATTCGGAAAATAAAGTTGTATAAAATATAGGCACGGAAGTTTCTGCATATACTGTATTACGTGACGACGTAAAAGATTCTCGGGTTACGACACAGGGTTAACGGTCTTACATTTTATCGAGAACCAAAGTAGTGAGAGAAGTAAGTCAGCTTTAAATTCTTTATGATAAAAATATAATCCAGGTGAACATTATCAGCAGTAGCTCACTGCTTGTTCACAGTATGTCCGTTACTTCTAATATTTACCGGAGTTGTGTGCCCAACAACCGGTTTGACCAGAATTAATGATTTGTCCGAATGCACCCTGTAACCGGTTTAACCGAATTAACGAATAATCCAAATGCGCCTTGTAACTGGTTCCACGAGAATCAACGAATAATCCCAATGAAACCGGTTTAGCTGAACACTGAACAATTTTCCTGAACTGTCGATAGAAAATCTGACTAGTATATATAGGATCGGTAATGGAAACATGTCAATATAGACGTAAAGCACACGGTTGTGAAGGTTTCAAACACATTTGGGAGTTCAGTATAAAATGTATGTTTGGACAGTTGTGTATCGTGATAATTACTTAATCTTTGTGAATACATGCCTAGTAACTTTTAGACATTGCAACCGTAAAGGGGCAAAAACTTATAACAGATATAATGAACTTTTCTAAACACTTTCTTGATATATTGTGCCGTGGAATCTGAGGGTATACTGTACACTTGTACATTGTGCGAAGAATAACATTGTATACATACGAGTATTTCATAGGCAAGATCTGTTTTACATATGATTGTCTTTACATGTCGCTTGACCTTTACCTGTCCATCCAGGTAACGTGATGACAAAGCAGTATGGACCAGAACACCAAGCCTACAATTATACCGTTTCAGACACTAATCCTGAAATGGGAGCATCCAGCCTTTAATGGAAAACTGTCCATGAAGAAGAAATGAAGCATCCAGGTGCGTGAATTGACAGGAAGGTTATTAAATTTGTTTTCTTGTTTATGTTCAGTAGTGATAATGACGCTGGGAAACAAGTCAAACACTGTTGAGTCGAACTTACTGTTGTCTCGAAGTATAAGTTTGTCCCTGGGTAACCCTTCTTTAGGTTTCACGTTTGTGTTATGGTTTCACGTTTATTTCGAACCCTCGGATAACCTCGGGTAACTCGAAGTATTACGTATGTCCCTTCAGCTTCGACACAAAGGTGTTTGACTGCATCTTCTTTGGTAAGTTCCTGTACTGATCTGTTGCGGTCTTGTAGAGATCTGGTGCGGTTTTGTAGCGGTCTTGTAGAGATCTGGTCTGGTACGGCGGTCGGTTTTGTAGAGATCTGGTGCTGTCTTGTAGTGATGCTGGTGGTGCCGTTGTACAAAACAACCTTAGCGCTAAGACTAACGCAAGTCTATGTTAAGGTACGCGAGTTACAATCACCTTAGCGCTATGATCGCTTTGTACAACCACCCCCAGGTGTAATGCCTGTCTGGTCAAGGTATTAGCGTCACAAGTCTAGGCACTAACCATTTCCACTTCGGACCTTTTGCCCAAAGACCAGGCGGCATTGAATATCTTCCAGGCGAACACGTGGGCCAGAATGCCCATCACAAAAATGGCCAGCCCAACGATGGAACTGTACACGCCGAGCAGACTGAGAGCAGAACGGTGTTCGCCACCGCAGGTGGTGCCGCCATCACCGCTGAAGCAGACGACACATGACCAGATCGAATAACCGAGATGCAAACCCCCGACCGTCATCTGTACTTGCAAAAACATCCTCACTGCCACCACCTAAACAAAACAAGCAGACAAATTTATGATTATGTCAAATATTTTGGAGTGTATACAGCAAAGTGGAAGGAGAGTATTGAAAGGTTTTTAAGATCTGCTCCAGAATAGAGCACTACCATCAAATTCAGTTGAAGCCTAACTTGTTGCCATGGAAATGGAACAAGATGACATCCTCATAGTCACAGCCTAAGTCATGTTTCCATGGTAAACCTAAAAAAATAAAATTCATATCTGGGTCGAAACCCCAAAAGGCACATCTAAGGATCATGCTTGATATATGAACCGAGTTTGATGAAGGTAGCGCGCATACTTTAGGAGATCTGCTCCGGACAATATGCCATCTTCATAGCCACAGCCTAAGTCACGTTTCCATGGAAACCGCAGAAAATAAAATTCTTATCTCGGTCGAAACCCCAAAAGGCACATCTAGGGATCATGGTTGACATGTGTACCAAGTTTGGTTAAACTAACACGAATAGTTTAGGAGATATACTTCGGACAGAGTGTGACGGACGCACGGAACTGTTTCTATATCCCCCGCAACTGCGTTGTTGAAGGGGATAACAAACTGTATTCAGAAAAATCGAAAGTGTCATCCCTAAATATAGCATCTCAAACAGACCGTGGAACACAAACATTCCACATCCAAATTAACTTGAGAAATCAACTGCGAAGACATAAGTCACGGGCACGTTTTTTCTAAAAGACGAAGTGTGTGTATGTGTGTGTGTGTTTGTGTGTCTGTGTGTGTGCGTGCGTGCGTGCGTGCGTGCGTCAGTGTGAGCGTTCCGCACCTGGCATATGCAAATGAGCCCTACCATAGGAGGGGCTTCACAAGCAAGCTCACAAGATTAGTAGCGAGTGCGTCCACCTTGTGCATTGATGAAGGGAATACTCAATACTTTTGGAAATTTCATTGTTCATAAGCTGGACCTTACATTATTTATTATATCATTATTTATTTATTACATGTATATGTATTTGTTTTCCCCAGTAAACTTAATGTTTGCGCTCTAAGTGTCTTAAGACCCCCAACTCCTATAAACAACGAATAACCAAATCCAAAGTCAATATGTTAGTTTGTTTAGCTACGCACCTACGTTATATATCCCATACGGGTGTCCGACTATCTCAAAACGGGCTCTCTAGTACTATCACATAGCCGTTTAACAATATCCAGTCGTGATCCCTTTATCGTGACAAACATCTTCAGCCCGCTTGTCAACTTACACCGCCGTTACCAGGCAACAGTGACAGTTGGCTTGGTGCCGAGTTGTTTGGGTTTCAAATTACGACAATAACCGTATGGTATCATCAATATCATGAGATTGACGGATGATATGCTTCGAGTCTGTAAGTTCCCTAACAACGCAATACACTCCAGCTGAAGCTAAATATAGATAAGCGGATTCAAATGTTCATCAACGATATTTTTGGATTATTAGGGACTTAAAGATAAAAATATTCAGAACAGTACTATCCTTTTATTACGATAAATGCAACGATTTGATTAAATTAAATTGTAACTAAAGCCAATCTTGGGTTTCAGATCTATTCAGGGGGTGGTTTTATAAAAAAAAAATAGTACTTTTCTTTTTTTTAGTAAGGCCTTTTATTTACGTGAACTAGATTTAAATGGACAATTTAAAGTATGCTGATTTTAGCCTTGTCATTAGAATTCTTAAACACTGACCAGAGAAAGTGCCATCCCAAATATAACATGCATTGTATTTGACCACTTTCTAAATGGAACTGTGCATTCATAGCTTTCGGTCGTGGGAGCCGTTTCAATTTACACCTATCAGCGGGGTACACGAAGTCCCTGGTCTAGACTACCAGTTGTCCAACTTCCATTTTTAGGGAAGCGGCGATGGCTGAGTGGGTTAGACGGCTGACTTTGTGTGCTGGCGATTAGGTGTCTGACTCTGCGGGTGTGGGTTCGAATCCCAGATGGGACTCAACCAAACAAAAGTACTAGTATCTGTAGTTTATCTAGAGTTCCTTGATTAATTTGTAAATAGAGCGAGTCTTAGATCTATTCAAAGGAGGGTTTTAGTACGCCTTTATATCTACGTGAAATGGATTAAATAGACAATATAAAGTATTTTGCTGTTTCCTTGAAATTAAAAATTCTTAAACACTTTCCAGAGATAATCCCAATGAAATATAATACGTGTTACTTACCAGACACCTTGCCTTTGATGGTTTCTCTGACAGTACCTCCTTCATCAACAACATCCCAAAGATCCCGCTCAAGACAGACTGCACAAAGAATAAATAGCAGATCAAGCAAAATAGAATATAGACAAAAACGAACTGAGTCGTGCTTCAAAGAGTGAGTTTGGACTAATTCCTGTAGGACGAGATTGTTTTCAGTGGGTCGCTGAGACGGTCTCTGGATAAGCGAGGGAGTGAGTGGGTCGGTTGCTGGGTGAGTGAGTGAGCGAGTGGGTCGGTTGCTGTGAGTGAGTGGATGGCAGGTGGATGTTGCTGGGTGAATGGAGGGAGGGGGGACTGGATGGGTCACTGGATGAGTGAGAGGCTGGCTGGTGAGTCGGTTGCTGGGTGAATGAGTGAGTGGGGAGTGGATGGGTCACTGGATGAGTGAGTGAGTGGACTGACTGACTGAGTTTGGTTTTGCTTTTAGTGGGGAGGATGGGATTGGATGGGTCACTGGATGAGTGAGTGAGTGGATGGCTGGCTGGCTAGCTGGTTGAGTTTGGGGGTGGGTCGGTCGCTGGTTGGGTGAGTGAGTCATTGTGTGAGAGGCATATCTAACATATCTGCCAAAATCAGCTCAAGAAGCACAAGTTAGTGCTAATAATAATTACATATGACCATACATGCAGTGCATTACATGAGTGATTGAGTTTAGTTTTACGCTGCACTAAGCAATATTCCAGATATAAGGCGGCGGTCTGTAAATAATCGAGCCTGGACCAGACAATCCAGTGATCAATAACATGATCATCGATCTGCGTGATGAGGAACCGATAACATGTGTCAACCAAGTCAGCGAGCCTGACCACCCGATCCCGTTAGTCGCCTCTTACGACAAGCATGGGCTACTGAAGATCAATTCTAACCCAGATCTTCACGGGTCAGTGCATTACGAATTACCAATGCATTATGAACATTTCGAAATAATTATACAAAACGGAAAATATCTTCACCATCAAAAGTTAAAAGTTAAGATTCACGTTTTTTTCTCATGTTCAAATAATGACCAGTTGTTTTTTCTTTTATTGGTTTCCTGTACTCAGCAATGTTCCAGCTACAAAATACATAATCGAGTCTCTACCAGACAATCCAGTGACTGACGCCATGGACATCGATCTACGCAGTTGTCATCGAGCCTCATCTCATCAATCAAATCTCACCTGATTCCCATAATCGTCTCTTAAGACAAACAGACTAACACGGATTTCCACGGGTTTAAATATTGATAAGCAAGAAGATGAACTGAAGATTCGTACCGATACTCCTGTGAAAATTCCAGAGCCGGAGGTGAACGGGTTGGCTGGATTTGGAGCAGCGTAGATTACAGTGGGGATACCAAAAGAGACGCTGACTATTCCGACAACGATCATGACTACTGACAACACGCGGTATGATCCCATACGACCTCTGACCTCTTCAACAGACACCTTGCAAGCTGAGGAGGAAAGAAACACAGAAAATATACATTTTATAAATGTTGTTAAATTATATTGTCTGAATGATGCTTTTGTCATGTTTGTTTTTAAATAAATAATAACTTACCGCACCAAGCAGGGTGTTGTTTAACGCCTCACATGGCAGTATTCCAGCTATATGGCGATGGTCTGTAACTAATCGAGTCTCGACCAGGCAAACAGTATGAGCATCGATCTGAGCAATTGGGACACGATGACATGTCAGGTCAGTGAGTCTTACCACTAGTGTTGGGAATTGGTTGAAATCTCACAATTGATGATTGCTTCATTACCAACGAGAAATCATCGAAAAACCTTGGTTATCCTCATTTCTCAGATTTTTCTATTCAGGTTGTAGTTGCAGATAAGTATAACATGATGCAACTTGCTACTTTAATGTGGTGACTAATTTATACTGAACATAAACTACTCAGAGTCTTCAACTATTATTAAGTCATGACGTTTCAGTTAGTGAAGTGAGTTTTCTAAGAATTAAACACATTTTCAGGCCCTGACAACTTCGAATATATGTTCCATCGACAAGAGTTTCAAAGACTAAAACAGTAGTTCCAAAATCGTTTGTGTTCGATTATGAGAAAATGTGATCGATTGCTTGGTCGTTTGGTCACTGCGACCAATCTTCGATTATTTCAATTAATCGGAACACCACTACTGACCACCCGATCGCCTCTTACGCTAGTCGCCTCTTACGACAAGTATGGGGTGCTAAGACCACATCTAACCCGGATCTTCACGAGTCATAAGTTGAAGTTGCATATAGAGACTGAAAAACGGAGTTGTCAGAAACCCTGGTACATAGTGGGGGGTGTCGACAGGGGGATGCAACCCTTTACCGGAAAGGGTCTTGCGCATGCGCATGAAAGTTTCGAAACAAAACGTCGTCAATCAAATCACTCTGAAACCACATCTGGACCAGCATTCCATTCGTGACCAACTCGTGTCATTCCGAGACAAGCCGAAAAGCGACTCGTGCCACCCTGGAAGGATTTCATATTGACGTAGGAACATTCAGAACTACTTCAAACAGGAACGATAACTCTATTCCTGTGTGATTCCAATGGCACTTAATATCACCGAAGTACTCACACATTGTATTGCTGTTTTTGTTTTTTTGCTTAATTATTTTAAAGAATTGAACCTCCTTGGAACAACTAAAAGAAGAAGAAAAACATATTAATTTGTTAAAGACATATTCTGACGTAATTATTACCAGATGTTCGACTTAGATTTCCAATTATATTTCTGAAAAGGGTTTAATAATCACAAAGGGATTTGTTTTATTGAATATGCAAATACAATTTATTTTATAGACCAATTTACAATTGGGATTTTGCAAATACTAAATCCCAAGGCAGAAACTCAAAAATGACTTTAAAATATTTCTCAAACTGAACATACCTGTAACCTTGCTGTCATACCCCAAGTGGTTTTGTATATGAATTCGCTGAAAACTATAATTATGAATGCCCAAAAAAGGTCAGACTAAAATATTCTCAGAGATGTGAAATATATGTCCAATGTTAAAGATTAAAGTTGATTAGATACATACAGATATAATATTATTGTTTGGAAACTGAAGATCGTCAGAAATACACTCAGTTGGACCAGTGAGAGAGCTGTTATGTCAACAAACGCACGTTCGTGTATTTGAATCTCTCACCGTCAATCGCATGTTTCTTATCAAAAACTTCACATTTGACAGCACAATTCTGTCAGCTACGTTCTTAGTACTTTCAATATGACGATATATATTTTTCACGATTTTTTTTACCTGGCCTTAACCTGCCCCGCGCTGAAAAGAGTCAGCGAAGTGATCATTCGTGACCAACTCGTGTTATTCCAGGACAAGCCGAATAGCGACTCGTGCCCCTCTGGAAGGATTTCATATTGGCGTAGGAACATCAGAACTACTTCAAACAGGAACGATAACTCTATTCCTGTTTGATTCCAATGGTACTTAATATCACCGAAGTACTCATACATTGTATAGCTGTTTTTGTTTTTGCAATTTTAAAGAATTTAACCTCCTTGGTACAACTGAATTCGCTGAAAAATATATGAATGACCACAAGAAGGTCAGACTAAAGTATTCCCAGAGATGTTAAATATATGTCCAATGTTAAAGATTAAAGTTGATTAGTTACATACAGATATAATATTATTGTTTTGAAACGCGTAGCGATTTATAATTACATTTCCTAAATTTGTTGGAAGCGCACGTACAATCTCCATAGCAAGCCCGTAAGATCGTCAGAAACACCCTCAGTTGGACCCATGAGAGCCGTTATGTCAACAAACGCACGTGCGTGTATTTGAATCTCTCACCGTCAATCGCATGATTCTTATCAAAAACACCACAATAGGCAGCAAAATCCTGTTAGCTAATTCTTTTGTACTTCCAATATGACGATATATATTTTTCATGATTTTTTAAACAATGACATAATGCCATAAACGATTTAAGTACTCGGGATTATTTTTACCAAAGCACCGCAGTCATTTACGCGCGCTCTGATTGGTTTGTCGTATTTTCGCACATAACAAGCATCAAGTGGGGGACGAGTCTTCTTGGAGGTTACGGAAAGGGGCGAGTGGTGACAAATGCGAAGTGATGAGACATATTTATTTATAGCCAATTAGCTCCCTTGCTCTTTTCAGTGCGGGGCAGGTTAAGGCCAAGGACGTCAATGGCGAACGGGCGCGACACAATTCTGTTTGCGGTGAATATATGTACGCAGAGACCATATAATAGAGATTATATGGTCTCTGGTGTACGTAAAGTCATTATGACAGTGAGGTGTAAGTGTCTCCGAAAGAATGGCGATTAGCGCGCTGACAGGTGCCATCAGTTCAACATGTTTGCACTTATCGTTAATGATTTCACCTCTCAAAACTTGAATGTCATAATGTGTACTATACTCAGTCGTGCCTATCTCCTCACAGACACAGGGTGACCCGAGATAGTGAAGATATATACACAGTCATTTATTTACCTAGCCTTGGTTCTAGATATGGTTATGATGTTTACGTTTATCATAATTATGATCTGATTTGGGGTTAACGTACTCAGACCTTAACCTAAAACACTGAACCCTATTCACATATCACGTGACTCGGAAATGGACCCGTGAAGGTCCGGGTTAGAATGAACCTTCAGCAACCCATGCTTGTCGTAAGAGGCGACTAACGGGATCGGGTGGTCAGGCTCGCTGGCTTGGTTGACACATGTCATCGGTTCCCAATTGCGCAGATCGATGCTCATACTGTTGATCACTGGATTGTCTGGTCCAGACTCGATTATTTACAGACCGCCTCCATATAGCTGGAATATTGCTAAGAGCTGCGTAAAACTAAACTCCTTCACTCACTGACTGAATGAAATAGAGCACCTGGGCGGCCAATTGTCGTCTCTGCTAAATATATACACAATGATTGAGGTGTAGCATTTCACTCTGTAGTGACTACGGTCATGGTTGAAAGATTCCAAACCATAACGCAGTGGTTGTATCTGTGGAAGAAAGCTCCATGAGGGTCAGTCCTGTAACCCGATATGTCCCCCGAAGCACAAAACGCACACGAGCAAGTCATGTTTACGTGTCACGCTTCTTGTTCGACGATTGCAACATATTTTGTGAAGGCTTTCATCCAAGTGTTCAGTCAAACGAGATATTAGCCAATACCTGTTTTGGATGTTGTAATGTACTTTATTCACTCAAGAGTCGATTAAAATATTTTCGTCCTACGCATACTTTTATTCTGACCGAGTTTCGATATTTTTGACAGACTTAACACAGCTAAACACATGCGACATAAAGATCCTGGTCTTCAGCAAGCCATGCTTGTTATAAGAGGCCAGCTTGTAAGAGGCGACTAACGTGACCGGGTGGTCAGGCTTGCTGACTTGATTGATACATCCCAATTGCGTAGATCGATGTTCATGCTGCTGATCACTGGATTGTCTGGTCCAGACTCGATTATTTATAAACGGCCACCATGTAGCTGGAATATTGCTGAATGCGGGGTTAAATAACCAACCAACCAACCAACATAGGAGGCGAGTCACGAGATCGGTTTGTCAGGCTCGCTGACTTTGGTGACGCATGTCATCGTATCCCATTTTATTACCTACGAGGGCGAAAATATCGGGGTTCATATTTTTCATACGATGCCCTAGGGCAAAATATCACTTTGGCATGGTGACGTAACGTCATGAACAACGCTATGACGTCACGTTTCTTTTATGACGTTGCGTTCTACATGCAGCGACGACAGGTAGCCAGCCTATGTTTGAAAGTAGATTTGGGTATATTTTCGGTACACTTCGGTAATAAATAGAATATTATATTCGTGCCCATATCCTACTATGTTTACGACACTCGTGCCTGAATATCGGTATATCCCTCGCTCTCGCTCGGGAAATACTGTTATAAGGTAAAAATGCATCCCTAAAACCATGAGAGAATTACATCAGATTCCGTAATTAGATTTCCAGTCATAATGGTTAGGCACGGTATGGAGACGAAATGTCTCCATGAAATGGCGTTTAGCCGTAGGCTATGGAAAGAGAGACAGAACACATTCGTAGTGAAATACATAACAGATTAATCTTACATTGAAACAATAACAAATCAATTAAAAGAGGTGAGTCACCGAACGGTGCTGCCCGATATTCATCCAATCACAACACACAATATTCATCCAATCACGACATACATGAGTGCAAGGAAGGATACAGGATTAACGAATTATAACGATGAGTGGAAGCATGTGACCAAAAATCAGGCTAGGTTCGAACCATTTAAAAAGACATGTTTGGCACTACGAGCTCAGTGTGCGGGCTAATCAACATTTAGGGCTAATCCACGCCACTCCGTGCGGTACGAACCTACCCTGTCGGTTGGTGCAGTTGTATTTAGAGAGATGGACTGAGACAGAGTAAAAACTTTATAACTATGTGAGT